TTATTAACAGCGTTAAGTCAATTTGTTCAACATGAAATTGAAAAACGGGTGTTGTTTAAAGAACTCAAAGGATGGCATTAAAATCCCCTTTTGAGATTTTCTTGAATTTGATAGTTTATTATGTTGTTTGTATAATGAATGTGTAGCATGAGATAGTAGAGCAAGGTTTGAAGACTGCAAAATTGACGATGTAAAGTTTAGTCTTCATTTTTCTACATAATTTCTCCTGCATTTTTATAGGTTTTGGGGGCATGTTTTCCCTGAAGGCAGTAACAAGAATATTGTCTAAACGTACGAAATTGAGAAATTACATCACGAATGTCGAAACAATAAATGGACTCTATGTGATTCAAAATTGTAAATTAATATATTAAATACAAAAACTCTTGCCCTCTCCATAGAACATCCAAAAAAATTATAGATCTCACATAAATTTAGAGAAATTATTAATTAAGACAATATTAGTACTTTTAAAAACAGTTTTAATATTTCAAAAATATTACACATATCATTCATCCAATACATAAGACGTACAATGCTGCTTACTACTAGTTAGTATAAGTAGCTAAATCATTAATTAGGTAATTAATATAATCTATGTGTGGTCCTTTAATTCGATTTTCAAGATTCTAGTCGTTGAAGTGTTCCTATGTTGATTTTATTTATGAATTTTAATGTTTTGCATTAGTTCGCCTCTAATTCAATTATATGTGAATTTTTAACAAATCGGAAGGTAAGTTTTCAATTTAGACCACATAATAAAATTCATTTGGATAGAAGTGTAGAGATACATTTTGTGATTGTTGTTGTTCAATGGGTTCTTAGAAATTAAGTGAATTCAATTAAAGCTTATTCAAATTCACATAGAGGTACAATGGTCAATAAATCGACTTAGTTGATTATGATTAATTTGAAATTGAACGATGTAAATTGATTAATAAAAAGAATTTGATAGAATACCACAATAAGTAAAGAATCTTGATTTACAAATTAAAATTGATCAATGTATGAAATTATAAGTCCTAACATCCACATTCATACTTCAAAACTCATATTTGATTAATTGTGTGTTTTAGATAGCATTTGGACAATTATATAAGTCATTAATCTCAAACTACACTTTATTTTTCGTCAATTAGGAGTTAGAAATTAAACAATAGTCTCCATGGGAACAATCATCTAAACTCATAAATTCATTATATTACTTATTACGATATCATACTATTGTGATAGAAAATACGCAACAGCACGTAAATAAATCATTCATTCCATTAACTAGATTAACGTCCTACGTCAAAAAATAACACAGATTCTCGTGGAAAGAGGAACATTACAATATTTTTTTTCAATAAAACTTAAGAAAATCGAGTTATGATCCCATCTAAGAACTCGTTAAAAAAGGGAAAATTGTAGCAGCGATCCCTAACCTTTCCATTTTTGCAGACTTTACGTTTACCTTCATTTTGTGCCAAAGGAGGTCCCCTAAGTTGACTTGAAAAATTAAAAAAATAGGTTTATGGACCCTTTTATGGAGTAGTAGTAACAATAATAAAAAAATTAATAATATTCCAAATCACCAAAAAAACCCTAAGTTAAAAGCACGGGACAACAAAAACTAAACAAAGAACCCTAATTACAAAATAACAGTAAAATCCCCCAACACAAATTCAAAACTTGGAATAAAAAAAAGATAATGAGCCTGATGGAATCTTTAGCATCACGCCCAACTTTTCTATTGCAAATAGGAAGAACCCAAAACAAGGCGGAAAGAAAAATCGATACGCTAAGTATAAAAATCAGAAAACATTTGAAATTAAACTCTTGGAAAATTCTAGAAAAGACCACCGAACATCTATGGCCGAAGAAGGTTCTAGAAATGGGATTCTGAAATTGTTGTTGTGCTGCTGCATAACTGGTAATCGTTGATTATCGACTTTCCCCATTTCCACCACATCATCTGTTCTTGCGGTGCTCTCTCTCTCTCTCTAGAATTGTATGTATAGGTGTATGAGGAGAAATGTTGATTTGAATAGTATCAAGTAAGAAATACTAATTCGACGAAATTGTCTATCCTTAAAAGGGTTAATATACTTGATTTTTTAATTTTCCTGGTCAACGACGGTATTTTGGACGGTTTCCGTCCAAAAGGGACTCCAACTGCATATTTATGAAAGATTAGGGACCTCCTCTGGGACAAAATGAAGGTTAGAGTAAAGTCTGCAAAAAATGAAAATGTTAGGGACCACTGCTACAATTTTCCCTAAAAAAATATACAAATTGATTGATTCATATCTCATCAAAAGTGTGGTACATGCACATTCTCATAAATGACGGATAAGTGTACATCTGGTATAAAAAGCTTAACTATAGAGAAAAACCATTTTTTTTTCTTATCTAAATTTAATTTTCAACCCATGATAAACCACAAATACAGAAAAATCGAGATTTTGTTAAGGTCATGTATTGGTCTCGTCGAAGAACCAGCTCTAGAGTGGCTAAGACATGCAAGGATGCATAGCTTAATTATGATATTTTCTTGGCATAGTTTTTGATTCTGAATACATGTACATGACATGCTATTCAAAATAGTGTGAACTATAAACCAAGATGGACAAACTAATGTAGACATTGTTGACAAAATGTTCAAACTTTTCGCATCATGTAGACATCGTCACCCTTTATGCCTTCAATAATGTTAGGTTGGGCAGGGCAGATTTTATTGGTGGAAAATAGCAAATAATGTTTGGTTATTGCGGTGGATCATCTTTTGTCACTTAGATTATTGATAAGCATTAGTGGTCCTAGACAGTATTACTCAACTAAAGAAATAGATTATTAACCATTCAATATATCGTGGGGGAAGTGTCCATTCAACACATTTTACCGTGGTTCACCTGGCAAAATTGTGAAAAATACTTTCGGAATGTATACGTTTGCGTAAATCTGACACTCGAGCTGAAAGTTATGCGCGTCTTCATATATTTTTCTTATTTCTAACTCATTTATGATTTTCCCTTTTAACTGTTCCAGATCAATCCTTGTATCGCTACTACTTAAAATCTAATACTTTGCATCTCGACATTCAAAAGATAATAAGTAATTAACCGCAGTTTTAATGACTACATAACAAATTTAAAGTACGAATTACAAGTTGTTGAATTACTCGACCAATTGAACTCTATGTTTTTGCTACTTTTCGTCTTTACTCGACCAACTCAACTCTATGTTTTTCCTACGTTTTGTTTGGTGAAGTTTACGGTACAAAAAGTCAAGAATGTCATCGTCTAGATTCTCTTCTTGTCGAATTGCTGTCCATATAGGTAGTTATCAAGCTAAAACCAAAATGAGGTATGAGATTTCTATATCCACATGCCACAAAGTCTAGCAAGACATCTGCTTCAATCCAAGCAGGCAAAACGACATGTTCTGATTTTAATGTGTGAAATTCCACAACTAAGTAGAGCATACGTAGTTGGCATGACTTGATCACTAAAAGTGTCACTTTCGATTTAAATTTCTAACGTAATACCTTTGATTAATGTTAGACATACAAATTAATTCTTGCAACATGACAAGACCCCTTGCACGTGTTTGAAAAATAATTATTCATATTGATAGTAATTTGAAAAATATAAAGAGAGATTAACAAGTGATGTAATTTGTGGGAACACTGAGAAATCAAAAGAGTAATATGTGAAATTGTATGCATTTTCATAATTGCAAATTGAGAGAATTGAATGTCGAAATTATTCATACATTTGAAAAATTGGCAATATTCATCGATATACCAAAAAAAAAAAAAGATTGTGAAATGTTGTGGATCAAAGGAGCAAAACTAAGGATCCATGAAGTTGCGAGTATCATGCAACAAAAGGAGAGCGATGGTAAAATATCCCAACTTCATCACATCCTATAGAGGAATCGGAGTGGAGATGAGGAAACTAATTCCCTCTTGAAAGTGTCCTTAAAATAGAAAATTGAAAATGGAAACAAAATTAAAACTAAAAAGCAAATAAATCGCGGCCTATGAAACTCATAATTTTTTTAGGTGAGAATATTTGCAGAATTTAAGAAGAAGAATTATGAAAATAAATTATCAGAGCAAAATGTAAAATCTATACATAGTCTTTGGCCATTCATACAAATGAATGACATCTCAAATAATGCAACTTTAGAGTTGCTTCATGAAAAGGTGTTAGAAGACAAAACAACTATTAGGCCTGTTTGATGGCCTTGATTTTCCTTCCATTTTTCCACTTTTTGGCTGTTTGATGACAATAAATTTTCATGGAAAATTGCACCCTCCCCCTCCCAACCCCCCACACGCCTTATTTCCTTGTTTTGGAGGAGGTGGGAAAAAATTTCACTTTAATTGACAATTTTCAGGGAAAACAAAGTCAAACGAACAATAAACTTTGATAAAAAAAATGATTTTTTAGAAAAAAAAATTTTCCTTTTTTTTTTTACTTATTGGCAATGGATACAAATTTTATAACCAATATTGTGGAAAAAATTATCACTTTAATAAACACTTTTCATGTAAAATAAAGCCAAACGAATAGAAAATTTAAAAATTTTTCGGGTGGAAAATTTTACCAATCAAACACACTTAATTACCAATTCCCTGCAAAATATTTTCTAGGCAATTGTTTTCCCTGAAAATCATTTTCTTTCCACCAATTTTCCATCCTTACAATCAAACGCACCCTTAGAATTAAAGACACGATTCTTGGATTAAAAGTCTTTAATAAAAGGACAGCCATTATATTTGATTTTTTTCCTTTTAAAATTGAGGACAATTTTTTCATTCAAAAACTTTCTCATTTTCCAACAGTTTCCCTATCAATTAAAAAAGATTTTGGAATATCTTTTGTGGAAACAATTGACATGGTGTCATGGTCTCACCTTTTTCATTGCAGCATTTCTTTAGTAAAATCATTTAATCAGGGAATTAGACCAAGAAAAGCTTTTGTGCCTTGAATCATCAAAACACAAGTCGATTAATAGCTGGGCGCCAGAGGCTTGCCAGGTTTTAATCTTGGAAAACTGTCTTTCAGAGTTTGAAGACATTAAATGATTAAAAAATATTTGATTGGTTTAATTTTCATCCTAGAAAATTTTATATTTATCTTTTATTAGTAGGTAGATGAAAGAGATGGAGGTTACTTGGATAGATGAGAGAGAGAACTGCCTGGAAGATAAAAACATATACTTCTAAAATATTTTTCTTGTTTTCGAGGAAAATATGATCACGTGACCAACTTTTGAAAAATATTTTCTATGGAAAAAAATGTCAATTGAACATCCCAAAAGTACGAAGTTGGATAGAAAAACGACATTTTTCTTGGAAGATAAAGTCAATCAAATACACTCAAATCAAGGGCGGACCTAGCACCCAGCGAGGGAAAGCTGCCGCCCGTGCTGGATCCGTCGGAGTCTTCAATACCGCCGACGTCATCGAATCAATGTCGTAGAGAGAATAGAGAAGATGGAAAGAAGAAGCCACAATTTAAAGTCATGTAGGCCCTTTTTTTTTTTGGCCCATGGGCTGAGATAGTTGGGCCTTTTTTTAAAAAAAATTAGGCCTAATAAAATGAATAACTCCAAACCCTTCCCTTCACATTTCAGTGATTTCACTCCTTCAGCCTTCACAGTTCTCCTTCTCCTTGCTCTGTCTTGCTGTGCTGCTTGCTATCGCCTACCGGTAAGCCTTCCTTGTTCTTTTTTTTTTTTCTGCCTCTTCTTTCAGTTGATAAAGGGATAGTCGGATAGATGTATTACATTGTAATAATGCAAAGCCCGTTTCCGTAAGAATAGGTTCAAGAGATTGAAGGGGTTGCTTGACTGTTTGAGGATTTTGAGATAGACATTGTGATTTCTTGTAAGACTTTTGTTGAGAAAGATGAGGATTTAGGAGAATGAGGGAAGTTGTGTGAAGTATTGAGTTTGAATAAAGAGTGGAGCAGTTGAGGGCTTCTTCTAAAGAAGGAAATGTGGTGATGGAGAGAGTGAGGAGGACATTGTCACCATCCATTTTTTGAGCTCCTTCAGAAAATCTTTCTTTTGGAGTGGGGATTTTGTAATTTAAATAATGGCATCTATTACTTCTCCTTGTAATATTTAATGACAATTTTGGTGTTAACAACATAATATTCATTAATGTTACTCTTGCATTCAGTAATCCAACTCAAAACCAGCTCATGAGGTAGCCTTCACGCGCGGTTGACTAGACAAGTAAAATCGAATTTTGGTAATTAATTATTTTATCCATGAATTCATCTGAAATCAATTTTTCCTAAATTCCAAACCTTCAATTATGTACATTATTTATTGTACGATGTTTTTTTGTATATATAAAATCGTTAGTATAGCATGAGTCATGACGTCAATCCTTACTAACATAATCCTTGCACTGGGGCAGTCAAATGGAGCACCAAACCTCATACTTTTGGACGATCGGTTTGATGAAGTAGATTAAACAGTATTAAATATTAAAAAAAAAAGAATTAAATCTTGGATATCACTAATAAATCACCTCTAGTAGACAGTATTTTGTACAGAACATGGGTTGATCAGTCATTGTGTAAAATCTTATCTCAATTACAAATTGAACATACTATCCAAGCTTTTTTTTTTTTTTTTNNTTTTTTTTTTTTTTTTCTAATTTCAAATCATCAAATATTGATGTAGGAACAGAATAAAGAGCAGGAAATAATACCACAAAAAGCTACTAAATGAAGGATTTCTCAGTTCTGTTACTATATTTGCTTGTGGGGCCTGTGGCTTGATACTATTGCCCTGTAACAAATAAGCAACATTGAGAAATTATCAACTTCATGCATAAAAGACTTTCACTTCACATTATTCATTAAAATGAATTACAAGTTCTGAATTACATACAGAAGTGAAAAGAACAAAAAGAATGAAAGAGTTTCCATTGAAGTTCTGAATAATATACAGCCACATCAACCCTTAAGCACACATACATATAACCTGGATTTATTTTTACAGTACTTCCATAATTGAATACTTTCTGCTTAATAGTTTTACCACTCATTCTATGAGCCATTCAAGCACCTTACCTTTATTGAATACTTTCTGCAGCAAAATACAAATGTCAACAGTCACTTCCCATTAGTCTTAATAACTGTTTGAAAAGGGGTTAAAAAAATTCAACTATTGCTTCAAATCAACATTCTCAACTTATTCAGAAACCATGATTCATTTTGTAATTGTCTTCAAGGAGGAAATTTGTAGGCTTACCTTTGAACTATTAGAACACAATTCAGGTTGTCTAACAATATATATTTGATCACCATGGCTGTCTTCTTGGTAAATATCCTGATTCCTATGCCAAGTCCATAGCGCGAATGTAGAATTTACAATCTGCATAATTCAAGATGGATAAAGGAATAAAATGATATATTGGAGATAAACATGAAAGCAGTACTCAATTTCAAAGATAGAAAAAGTGCAGAAGCTAATGTAGAAGTCGTAATTATGCTCACTTTCTGTGTATTTACTCACAGTATCAACCTTAAATTCAAAGATTATCAATTCCAATATAACCTGAAAGAACTCTATTCTTTCGCTCCAAGCTTCTAAAATCTGTAGCAGCAGTGGTTTTTCGCTTAATATGACACCCCAGACAAAATTTATTGCCAAAAACACAACAAAGATATGACATAGGCCTGGTTCAACTTTTTAAGCTCTCTATTGTGAAAGTTATGCCTAGCTCAAGAGTCAAGACCCATAATTTTGTGGTGAACCAGTAGGGAGACAGAGTTATCAAATATGGAAGATATTTTTTGCGGTGTCACAAATAATAATGGACAGGACACACGAGTGATGCTTCTACGATAACAATGAATGAGAAAGCCAAATTGCTATGTTATCTGAGCGAAAAAAAGGATTCCTTACGAGGGAGTTTAAGACCAACAGTAGGAAACAGAGAGCTGAAACTTGGGCAAACATGCAGAAATTTATCGATTGAATATTTAAGCTCACAACCTCAGACTTTACCTCAAGCATTCCATGCCCAAAGCTGCTCTCTCTGTAGGCACTCCACTCAGGTTGTCTATCCCAGCAGAATTTTCCTTTTGCAGGGCCAAATGAGAAGTTCATATGACATACACCTCCAAATTCTGGAATATTGTCACCAGCAGAGGGACATTTTCCAGGATCATCTGCGTGATCAACATCAACCTTCTCAATGTTACCGCCATCTCCAACTGTTATATAAACAGGACCGCACGAATCCAAAGTATAGTTGAAGACTCTGTTCATCCTCTCATAGGCATGCACCTAAGAAGTAATTCCCTTTATCTTTAGTAAAATGAAATTAATAATCCTAGTTTTTTATAAATCAAGCCATGACATTTAAAATGAAATGCCGTCGAAAATAACAAAATTGTAGCATTCACAAATATATTATCAGAGAAAAAATTCAATGGAAACATGAGATTCCTTTTATTTATATTCCAAAAATTAGTCAGAAAAACCCAAGATGCTTCAGCTTATTCAGTGGATACTGATAAAAATTACTAGTTTACCTGTCAGGGTTCAGATAATGTCAACTTACATGACCAGAAAAGACAATATCAACTCCATATTGGTAAAAAAGTGCTTCCATTTCCAGTCTCATGCATTCAAATTCCTGATAGTGTGATGAATAGCTATTGTACCAAGGAGGATGCCAAGCAGCCACCAGCCAAGGTGTTACACTTCGGTCTACATTTTGAAGATCTTTTTGGAGCCAAGCATATTGAGCACCTTAGAAAGAGATTAGACAAATTAAATGTAAGCCTTAGTACAAATTTGTACTGCAATATATTTGATCATATTATCAAAGTTAAGAGTTATCAATCAGCTACCGGTTTTATTGTAGTCCACATATGCCCCCAACATGATGAAATGTGCACCTCCAGAGTCAAAAGAATAGTAGAAGTTAATGTTAGAACCAGACTCATTTGAAGGAACAGAAAATCTTGTCAGATATGATTGGAAACTAATATTGGCAACTTGAGGCTCGATCTCATGGTTTCCTTCAACAACCATCATTGGGACTCTTGATGTGAGAGGTTCCATGAACCTGGCTTCCAGATTATGCAAGAAAAAATTATAAATTGGACATGATTAATTCAATGTCAATCTAGAAGTTAAAGTGTTCAACAAAGAAGATCATTGTTGAAAATCACAGAACATATTATGTTTCTGAACTTAGCAACTTTTCTTGTTTCAATACACCAATATTTTAAGCCAAAAAAATACAAACTCCATCCTATATTATTCTCACAGACCAATTTATATTTCCTTGAATAACAGCATCCACATCTGCATTAGCTTTTCTAGTTTCATGTTTACACTTGTAATTTGTAATTAGATAATTTCATCTGGTTCTTCATCAGTACAGTAATTTTTTATAGCCATGTAATTAGGCTCTGTTTGGTTCCCATTTTTTTTAAAACTCGTTTTTCCTCGAACTCATTTTCAACCACACAATTCATTGGACTCACAACTTTTATCAACTTTTCAACCACAAAATTCATTAGCTTTTATTAAAATCTACTAAAAATCTGATTTTTTTGCTAAACCAAATGGGGGCTTAGACACACTAGCTTGCACAAAAGAAGTTTGAGGCATAAATTATACTTTTGACTACTTTGATCAGAGTTAAATTTGCATTATATTATGAATGAATGCCTCAGTATCTATTCCTTCAATCATATTATATATATATATATATATACAGAAATGATCTAATGAGTACCGGTGCTCATCTTATCCTAAGCATCAATGAGTTGGCACATTAATTCATTGATGGATTGGAACTCTTTATCCACCAATGAATTAATGTACCAACTCATTGGTGCT